ATACAACTTATTTTTATCAATGAATAAATGTGTAAGACGCTGTGAGTTTATAATAAACAACGTAAATATCCATGCCGGTGTAAGCCCTGTTGCCACTTCCAGTCTAACATGACTAGGTTTTGGAATTTATTGAAAATTATTACATCGTTATCTCTGGAAGGGACACTCGACATAAAACAAAAAGTGCGACATGTACAACTATTTTCCAGGATAATGACTACTTTGCGAAGTTGTCACGTTTTTTTAATTCCTGTGTTGTCGCGTGGTTTAATTCGCAGATTCTCGGTTTTTGGCATTGATACATTACACTTTTACATCATGAGTCAAACTCGAGCCAGTGGAGCTAGTCAGTTTTATTGAAAGTAAATGTCATTTTTTTAAGTAGTTTCATTTAAATAAATCACAGTACGACATTTTGATTACATTTTTTCCTCACTTTTGATGCGTACGTCTATCATGTCACAAAATAGTGTTTATGTCGTCTCTATTTCATTCTGTCTCGATGATTTTTGGTGTGTGATATAATTTAGTAGGTACACTACAAAAAGAGTTCTGTTAAATCGTCGAGCCATGAGCTGATGAAAATTAAATAACCTATGTAGGTAATTGGTAGTCAGTGTCGGACTGGCCCGGTCGGCAAGTCGGCATTTGCCGACGGGGCCAAACCCTTTAGGGAGCCAACGGTCAAGCACTAGAGATAAATCAAACCATCATAAAAATGTTTACAATAATTCAACGAAATCTAGGAAATCTGGCAACATTGGTGCGTCTAGACAATTTGTTCTACGTCGATACTTTTTTTTTAGAAATTTATGCAAATATGAAACTCTTTTAATATCATTTATCATGATAAAAAATTTTGAATACGTGACTCCCGCCTCAAATTATCTTGAGATAGAAAGTATTGATTTTATCCAAGCATACCATTTGGTAACAAATCTAAAAGCAAGGCTAAATGAAATATATGACAAATTTTAATTGTTAAAAAGACGAATGCATTTTTAAATTATATAAATCAAATTGAGACCATTAGAAACAAATATATTGTAATTGAACATGAGCTGCCACAACAAAGGTTAAGAAAAAGGAAACGTATGGTAGGCGAAACAACTGAAGATTCCGTTATTATTGATCCAATGAAAAAATTTGAAATTGAAGTATTAAAATCAGTAATTAATCAGGCAATTCAAAGTATAAGTCAGAGATCTGAAGCCAACAAACAAATTTATGAAGATTTTTAAGACCTTGACACCAGAAATTTTAAAAGCTTGGATTTATTAAGCGACTGATATTGCAGAAAGATTGAAACAAATGAATGAGTAGGTTGCGTACACTGTACTTTTAAAATTTTAAGAGAATACGATATGCATATATCCACTTTTTCAAATTTGTATATTGCTTATAAGTTTTTAATTACTTTGTCTTGCACTCTAGTGGCATGCGAACGAGTATTTTCTCTATTAAAAATAGACTTAGATCTTTGTTAGGTCAAGAATTATAGCAGGCCCTAATATTAATGAATACGGAAAGAGATATCTTAAATAGTATTAACCCGATAAGGTAGCTTCCACAAGCTCAATTTATTATATTGTTTTGACTTTTTAAGCTTCGTTTTTTCCTATATATATACCTATCATGTATACCTATCATTAATAGGCTTTTTTTTATTTCTGTTATGTTCTTTAAGAATGGTAGTTGTATTTTGTTTTGTGATTTTGTACGTGTACCTGTTTATTTTAATTATTTATGTCTGTTGACAACGTTATATTTTGTTATAGAAATTTTTAGTCAGATTTATTCAAATAGTACTTACTTATTTGCACTCCTATTTTTGACTATGTAATATTTTTTTCTTATTTGTTGTTGTTTATGGAAGCCGGTTTTTTTTAATGTTAATTTGTGATTTTTTTCCTTTTTTTACTTTTATTTTTATTTATTTTGGTTTTAATATCTAATTTTTTTTCGTTTTGTTGTTTATTTAAAAAACTAAAAATTTTTTATATAAAAATTAAGATTTATATTTTATTTATTACCTACACAATATTTATATTATGTTTTAAACGCATAATTTTACAGTTTTTTTAGATTATTTGAAACGGTCGCCAAGTACTTGAAATTTAATGATTTTGGACTATCTATTTTAACACTACTTTTTAATATATAAATTCTAAATATTTGATGAATTGCCTTTATGGGATAATCGAGTTGGTCAAAGAAAGTAGGATGGGGGGCCAATTACTCGTGGTGCCGATGGGGCCAAATTTAGCCAGTCCGACCCTGTTGGTAGTAATAACTTATAGGACATATATCAGTTACTTAATTAAAACGTTGATTGGTTAAAACCTTATTATATTAAGTTCACAAACACATTACCCACATTACCAAAACCAAATTTATAATGCACTCACTTTCGCAGTGTCTTATTTTTCTGAAATGCATAATAACTTTATTATTCATTTCTAGTCTGCGAATTGTTAATAAATGTATAAACATTTTGCAGGATCAATTTTTCAGTATTTCTTTTCTAAAAACATAAAATAAAAATTAAAGTCTGAAAGAGCGGCTTTTTTTATTTTTAAAAATTTGAAACTTACATTTTTTAGAGGTTATTTTACCTTTTTTTTTGTATAGAGTTTAGAGTCTATTTCTCAACTTTAGTAGCACAAAAAGCGGCAAAACAGCCTTGATAACCCTTTCACATGCTTACGGTGTTATAAAGACAATTCACTGCTTGCCAGTTTGCATACATTTATCGCAGCATAAATTTAGAAACGACTTTACAGAACGTCATGGGCGTGAGGTAAAGAATTATGTATTATGATGCAAATGAGCGTCATCGGCAGCGATAGTGTTAAAAAAATTAAATTCAAACATAAAATTTTATTTTAATAAAAATATATGGGTACTCTATTTTTTATTCGAATGTAATAAACGATAATTATAAAAAATAGGTTTCAAATATTGTTGGTATATGATAATATTTTTTTTGTTTTATTTGCAAAAAAAGAGGCAATCAATCTATACAAACTATACTGTCATCAAGCTTGTTTACCAAGCTGATGTACCAAATATATTATTAAATTTCTGTTATTTTAATATTGTGATACATAGCTCAACTGCTTTTGATGCACTTTCGCTTTCGCAAGTCATTTTTGACTCTTAAATAGTTAAGAAGAGAATCTTGACAGATGTTCTAGGTTGCAACCTTCTTCTTTGCTGAAGTAATCTGACGTATTAACATCATAACCACTAGACCACCAGAACGACAACCGAGACGCAGGTTTGAGCTCTGCTAGGAGAATTTTTTTTTTCAAAAACAATTTTTTAACTTCTCTTTATTTCTGGATTTTGAAATGTATCAATCAATCAATATAAAAATACGTGTGGCACTCGGGGACTGCCGCGGTAAAGCTATTGCATAGTATTTTTTATCAACTTATGCAACTATAATTATTTATTTTATTTATGCAGTATTTTTTTCTTTGATATTAATTCAAGTTTTTTTCTTTGATATTAATTCAAGTTACACTTTTTGAGCGTGGTGACCGATAAGAAAACATTTTTTTTATTAAATAAATGAGAAGTTAATATTGTTTAAAATATTTTTATTATCTTACAATACATGTAGGTTATTCAGGATTTTTTATCATTGAAACTATATGTTTATGGTAACTGAAATAAGAAACATAAGTTTGAGACTTGATATCCTCTAAATATCTGGAAAATACCGCGTCAATGATGATTCCATATTTTGTTGTGGATTCTTGTGGATCATTATTAATTTTTAAATTAAATTTTTCCGAAATTGTGTCTAAAAGAGATAGAATCAGTTATAAGCAGTTAGCCGAACTGAAACGACGTTAGACGATGCACGGCTTTCAACGCCGCACTGCTGTGCCGGTCGGAGTGGGGGGTTAGGTTTATTTTCGTTACGGAATTTCTTTTTCGATTTTTTGATTTTTCGATTTTTTGATTTTTTGATTTTTCGATTTTCCGATTTTTGGATTTTTGGATTTTTAGATTTTTCGGTTTTTAGATTTTTGGATTTTTGGATTTTTTGATTTTTCGAGGGTGTTAGGTTTATTTTCGTTACGGATTTTCTTCATTCGGTCGCCGCGCTCAAAGCCCGCGATAAAATCTATGCAATAGCTTAATAATGAAATAGTTAACACTGATAAAATAAAAATTAATATTTTATCAATCTTGCAAAAAAATTAATATCTAATATTTACGCCAGCCGGGAACATTTGTGATATCAATTTATTAGAAGCCAGAGAAAGCTCTTCTAGTTCTTGTATTGCATAAACGTTCCAGTCCACAGACGTATATTTAACTCCGCTTCATACTAATACGAATAGGGTCGGATAAAACCTTCCACGGCTTTCAAGTTGAAAGTTTCAACGCCGCACCGCTGTGCCGGTCGGAGTGGGGGGTGTTACGGTGTTACGGAATTTCTTGATTCGGTCGCCGCGCTCAAAGCCCGCGATAAAAGCTATGCAATAGCTTAATTATTTCCAAACTAAAACAAATTATAAACAAACACAAATATAATTATTTTACTATGTAATATTTCGGCAGTAAAATGGACACATTATTCGAGTAAAACTTTTTAGTTTACCTCTTCATTTTCATATTAAAGATGTTTTCTTTGTTCCGTACTTCATCCCCACCCTATATAATATTAAATTTGTAAAAGAAAGTAAGAGTTAGGCGTTAGATAGTAGTTGTAACTGTAATTTAATTGGTAATTTTCATTGTTGAAGCCAACTTAGAACTTTTTTCACAATTACTCGTATTTAACAAAAGTTGGATGGTTGGAATAGGGTTAGATATTATAGTAGTTGAGGTAGATATACACAACGAATTTCAATTAATACTTTTATATGGAAAATAAAGTTTATTAATATATCTCTTATATCTTCAAATAACTTTGGTTTGTTTTCACCCTTGGTAGTTTAGGGATTTGTAATAAATAATACTCTATTGAATTAAAAGGTCTACTTCGATCGTTTATTGTCTTCAAATAACCGTACTGCATTGTAAATATCCTCTGCTAAAATTTTAGGTAACTGCATAGCTGCAAAGTGTCCACCTTCGTAATCATTGAGTTGGATTAAATTTATGTGTACATCTTTCAGCATTCCATCAGCTGTATAAAAGTCGTTACTAAATCGGGCACATGCCGTTGGCACTTTTATTGGTTGACTAAAAATTATAAAATAAATTTAAAATAAGAAATATTAATGATATGCCTATTACCGATTTGCAGATTTTTTGATAAATTATAATTGCATAAAAGTTGTTATTGCAAAATTACCGTAACAATGAAGATGTCCTTGATTGTTTCGGCCTTTACTTGATGAAAATCCATATTATTAAAATGAGAAAAATCAAACATAGTAGATTTTCACGAACACTTTTATTTAAAAAATTAAAATTAAAAATTAAACGACAATCGTTTCAAAGTACAACTTCTTCAAATGTGACAGCGAAACATGGAAAAATAATTTTTCCCTGGGATTCTCGTTACCTATCTTTTGGATCATACTGAATATAAAATAGGTAAAATTTACTTAAAAACAGCATACATGGTCTTTTGACTCAGCCTGTATAGAATGTAATAGTCCCCAATTTTGATTATTCAAGCCAAGAATATTTTCCTGCTAAAATAAAAATTCGATTTTATGACTCACCCTGTAACTAATAATTTACATTAAATATGTTGTACTTGAAACATTGTTTAATATCAGCAAAGCTTTATTCTCGAAAAATATCTAGAATCATGGTAGTTTGTTAAGACGCACGCCCTTTTTAAAAATGGCCAATTTGCAACTTTAACGCACCTGCATTTCAAAAACTAGTCACAGAATTGAGTTGTGCCCATGGACGCTATTATTTAGAAAATCGACAACTACAACATATCAAAAATTTAGAAAATTTTAATGTAATGGTGCCTTACCCGGTATAACAATTCAAAAACTAGAATGAAGATATATAACGCTTGGCATTCTATATTTTATTCTTCAAAGTTTAACAGACTCCTTTAACCTCCATTTTTAATCAGAAGGCTTTATCCCCTTATAAAGCTTGATTTTTTCTTAGGATTTCAATTTGATATCGATTTTTGTTTCTGAATTAGGACTTTTTTTCATTATATCAACCCCCCCTTATCACCCAATTTTTATTTATTTATTTATTCATTCTCTTACAGAGCTGGATTTTTACTTAATATTTCAGGTTAATATCGTTTTTGGTTTTTGATTTCTATTTTCTTTTATTTCAAGCCTCGCTTGACGACCTCCATTTTATTAATTTTTTTTAATTCCATTGGCTTTGTCCCCTTATATAGCTTGATTTTTACCAAAAATTTCATGTTGATATTATTGTTCGTTTTTTTAAATATTTCAACCTCCCTTAAGCCCCCATTTTTATTCAAATTCTTTTTCACAATCAATTTGCTTCATCTTCTTATAGAGCTTAATTTTTACTAAAAATTCATGTTGATATCGCTTTTAATTTTTGACTTATTATTATATTTTTTTGGTGTGTCATCGGCTTCAACTGCTAAGGTTATTTCGCCTCGTGTTCTGTGTAGGCTTTGTTACTGTTTCCCAGCGCCACTTTAGGGACAGCACTATTAATTAGAACCCAACAGTGAATGGTCGAGTGGGGAATCCTACCAAGCCATCAGAATTAATTTTTTAAATAAATAAATTAAATGAAAAAATTCCGGCCAACGGTGGGATTCGAACCTGGGACCCTTGGATCCACAAGCAGAGATTCTACCACTGAGCCACCCACCCCGATGATATTATTATTATTATTGTTATTTTTTTTTAATTTGGTGTCATCGGCGTCGACTACTAAGGCCAGTAGCCTCGTGTTCTGTGTAGTCTTTGTTACTGTTTCCCAGTGCCACTTTAGGAACAGCACTGTTAATTAGAACCCAACAGTGAATGGTCGAGTGGGGAATACTACCTATGCATTAGAATTAATATTTAATTTTTTTTATTAAATAAAAATCCTTGCCACCGGTGGGATTCGATCCTGAGACCTTTCGATCTCAAAGTGATGACTCTAACCACTGAGCTAACTTACCCCCCTATATTGTTATTAGTATTATTATTATTATAATTATAATAATAATAATAATAATAATAATAATAATAACAATATAGGGGGGTGGGTCCCTTTATAGAGCTTCATCGCTTTATCTTCTTATGGAGCTTGCTTTTTTGCTAAATATTTCAAGTTGATAGCTTTGTTCCTTTTTGTTCAATACCCCTTAACTCCCTCAGTTTTAATTAAAATTTTTTCAAATTTAATTGGCTTCGCCTTATAAAGCTTCATTTTTCGATTTTGACTTGTGGACAAAAAACGTGACAGCATACTCTGTGAAGAGTATAATTATAACAATTTTTATTTGAATGGTTAAATTATAATTTGATAAATATGCTTTACATCTGTTTTAATTAATTCGCAAACAAGAATAACATGTTCCGAAGTTCCTATCTCGCCACAATGACACAAAGGACATAATATACAAAGAATCATTTTCGGAAGATGAGAAGTAGTTAAATAATAATTGCGTATTAACCTACTGATTGTGTATGTTTGGCCGAGAAATATATCTATATTTCTCTTTTATTATGCGTACTACATTTTTAATCGAATGATATAAATTCCTCCCCTTATTGGAGAATAAAATTTGCCCATCACAAAACTAATATTAGACTAATACGAGTGTCAATCAAATATGAACCGGAATTTTTTTATTAATTTATTATTATACAACTTTAAAATTATTGTACATATTCTCCTTGAAGGTCTACATATTTTTTCCAACGCCTAAGAAGTTTTTTGAGCTCTTCCTCAAAAAAAGTTTGGGGCTGAGTCCCAACCCAGTTGCGTACGAATCGCTCTACATCTATGTCATTGTCAAAACGCTGTCTACCCATTCTTTCAATGGCCCAAAGAAATTGTAGTCACAGTGCGACAAATTTGAGCTATAGTGGAGATGTTCCAAGATTTCCCAGTGAAATTCAGTTAATTTTTGAGTAGTCAAAAGAGCTGTGTGAGGACGAGCATTATCGTGAAGCCAAATCGCAGGTCGGATTGTGGTACTATGTCTTCTGGATCTGTATGCGGATTTCGCGGCATCCAAAAGCTGGCATTAGTATGGAGCAATAATTAAAATACAACGTTCATGAAGAATATAAAAAATCAAAAAATGGTCGCAAGAAGTTTTCCAGCAGACAGTTCGTTTTGGCTTTTACGGGAAAATGCTCCCCACTGCTTTCACCACTCCATACCCCCTTTTTTGGATGTGGGAGTATAATGATGTGCCCACGACTTATCACAAGTAACTAAACGATGTAAAAATTCGTCTCCCTCTCGTTTGTATCAACCCAAAAGCCTTTTACATATTTCCATCTTGCACATCTTTTTCTGAACCCAACGTGATCTGTGATAATGGTATGGTCACTCCCATGTCTTATGTCTGTCCCAGCAGCGATTTCATTAACCGTCGGTGCCGAACTTTCTCAATGAGTTCAAAAATCGCTAGAATATTGGCATCTGTTACGCTTGATGGTAGACGTTTATGCAACTCTCATTTTCAGCGGCTTTACACCCTTCCTTAAATTTTCTGGACCACGCGTACCCTTGAGTTTTTGATAACGTAAAATCCCTGAACTGTGCACGTAATCTAGTTAAAATGTCGGAGTATTTGAGGCCCTCTTCCGTGAGAAACTGAATTATAATATGTTGTGCAACCGACGGTGGTACTTCTTGCACCGACATGACTTATAGCCATGCATCTAGGGATGCAAGAAAAGTATCGATAATTTGAAAATTGAAAGTAGGTACTGACTACTCTGTGGTATTGATACTTTTAAATAGTATTGAGTCACATACTTCGATTTTCTCTTACTATACGGAGAATGGTTGCACTGCGCAGTTTTCTGCATGCCTTTTAAAAGGACAGTCCCCAAAGATTTTATTTAGGAACCTACAATTTATAAAACCATTAATAAATAATGAATATCTTGAAAATCTTGCTTTACTTGGTGATTTTATGTTAAATCTTTCCATTTGTAAGTAACAGTAACTACTTTAATTATGTTCCTATTGTTGTATAAATGTTTTTTATTTTTCCGGTCTCCTAGGAATTTCGAGCACTTAACTTGAACAGGTTTACAAACCATTAATCAAATTGTTTAGAAATTATTTTTAGCTAAACTCTGTTGTCTGATCTGCAGCATTTTGAGGAAAATGCTTATTCCTCTTATATAAAAACGTGTCTGTCTCAGATAAATTACTTATATAAAAAAAACAACTATCTATTAGCTGAAAAAATGCAAAATATAACATTAGATTGTTTATTCTCAAAGATTTTTATTACATTACGAAAATAAAATGATTGTTTAAGGGACTGGCAAAAAATATCATAATATTAAGGTAAAATCATATCCACACCTTTAGAAATAATTTAAAACCACTCACCTCTATTTCAAGATGCACTCGCAATTATAACTTTTCTTCAAAGAAGTTTCTTGTATATTATTTAAAATAAATAAATGTTCCTTCTACATTTTTAACCGACTTCAAAAAAGGAGGAGGTTATCAATTCGTCGCGATATTTTTTTTTATGTATGTTCAGCGATAATTCTTTAACATGGTGTCCGATTCCAATAATTCTTTTTTTGTTAAAAAGGGGCTACTTCAGGGGTGGTCCCATATAAATTTGGTTAAGATGTGGCGATGGAATCTGCACGTTTTTGAAGTCGGTTTTTTTAAATTTTTAATTTCTAATACTTGTGTTGCCTTCATTTAAAATCTCAAAATACCTTAATACCAAGACATAGGCTACCAGTTTACCATTTTGAAAAAATGTGTTGCCTAACCTAGTAGTAATTGCAACAAAATGGTCGCGCCCTATGTTGGGCGTTTCGGACGTCTTTCTTGCACCGTATAGTAATCAAAGTATGTGTATTGAGTACATTTTGTGTTCTTCGAATATGAGTAGGTATCGATTCTTTTTAAGCAGTATCGGTATCGATATTTGTTTTGTATTTACGGTCTACCTGCATTGGGATTTTCATCTTTCAATACGACACGTGTTGAGACGAAAATCTTCGTTCCACAGAATGCGATTCTTATGTAATGTCTATCTCTATTTGATTGTTGAGTTCAAACATAAGAATCCCTGTTCTGATTTCAATTCAACATCGGCACCCGCATTTTGCAAACCGCAAACCAACAACATTCGATATCTATCAATATATCTATGAACGTCATCCTACAAACTTCACATTTACAAAATAAAGAGCGTTTTAAGATATACAGACCACTGATCTGTAATATTTTTACAGATCAGTGATACCGATGCACGTCGCCATTGACATTATCAAATAATATGATATCGGTGATTTCCCCAAATCGTTGATTCTTTACAGTGACACTAGTAACCTAACCTATAATTATCGTTTGTGTGTTTGTGTAGGGTGTAGGTAGATCAAAAAAGACCAAGGAATACTTTATGTTTACAGTTTAACTGTCCTGAGTTGTTTGTTGTTTCTTGTTGTTTGAAATTTGTTTAATTTTATTATTTATTAATATAGTAATTGAAAATGGGAGTAACTAATACACAAAGACCCATTTTATTGTAAATTATGGATGGCGATTTGCCTCTAAATTACAAGATATACTTGCCACATATGTACTTGTACTCGATACTTAAAAGTATCAATATCAATACCTATTTTCAGAATATCGAGTTTAATCGATTCTATTCCTACAAAATACTTACAAGTATAAAGTATCGATACTACTCGGTATCGTTGCTTTCCTACATGCATCCCTTTTTTACATTCCTACCTTCATCCTGTATATGTACCAGGTTATTTCGATCAGTACAGTTTTAGAGAAAAAAATTCAATTTATATTTTACTCGTACAATATACTTAATTATTATTGAATACAAATTCGTGATTACCTGTCATTTTAAGTGTACATTGAACCACAGCGTTATCTGTAATTGTAACGTGTGGAAGGTGGGTTAACCCACGGCACGTAGGCCTCACTAGGCACATTGTTTGTGCATCTTTCTAAGTTGATAGGCATCTCCTAGCTCGTGTTCCAGCCCACAGATTTAATGAAGTTGACAACGTCGCCAAGAGATGCTTCTCTCATATCAACCGTTGTTAGCCAGTTCTCGCCGAACACAAATCTTCTAATAATTGAGAACGTCGGGCAAACGTAGAAAATATGCTCAATGGTCTCATTTTCTTGTTCGCACCCCCTGCAGAGTGCGGATTCTGATAGTCCCATGCAATGGAGATGCTTCCGTACTCGCCAATGACCTGTCAGAATGTCTGTGATCAAGCGCAAATTCTGTCTAGTCATACTCAACTATTTGTTTGCTGTAGTGTTGTCAGCAAACTTAAAAACTCCCTGGCAACTCTGCAGTTTCTTATTTTATCCCATCTTTCCTAGAATTTCACAAGGTAATGTTTTTTAATTAGGTTTGTCACTACCGATGTTGTCAGTCCAATAGAAGGACCAGGTTCAGAAAGTATCAGTGTTATTTACTATGTAGTTTCAATCAGTTTATTTTTTTTTTTTACTTTCCTGTGACTAACACATAATGATGGTTATTCGCTACCGCTCATATCGGAAAACGTATTTGCAGATCTCGTATGCTTTCAAGTGCATACTAGCCCTGTAAAGTACCACTTATAGATCTTGGACGTAAATAACTATTAGATAATTGATCGTAATTATTTTACGGTTTTTAGAATCATTTTTATTATCAAATTTCGAGGCACCTGTAAATTGGACGCACATTTATCGTGTTGGAATATTAAATTTCTTAATAGAATAAAAAGTTCCTTATACTTAACAACAAAATTAGTTATTCCCCACTCGACCATTCACTGTTGTGTTCTAATTAACAGTGCTGTTCCTAAAGTGGCGCTGGGAAACAGTAACAAAGCCTACACAGAACACGAGGCGAAATAACCTTAGCAGTTGAAGCCGATGACACACCAAAAAAAAAGCAATGTCTTAAGTCTGAAAAGAAAATATAGCTAAAGGTGCACAATTAGTCTGTTCGAGAATTTTCTTAAAATCAGCATATTAACAAATTAACAAAGTTACCGAATTAATTTCAGTTTTTATGATCTCACAGTACAACTACCTTTATATTTTGTACCTTGTTTCAATTAACTACATTCAGGATAATGTTGTTTTCAAAACTTCTTACACCCATAGCTCGCGTTACATTTATCTGCATCGTAATTGTACAGTTTACTGCAGAACTCCTACTAGGTATAAATGTAATAAAATTAACTACATGAAGAACAAGTATGGCTTAAACTCGCAATAATATTTTCCCTCCTCTAAATAGATGCCACAATAATACGAAAAATTTATTTCTCTTAGTTACGTACAACAGAATTTTAGTAAAATAAAGCTGCATACTGGTTCAAAGGCACCACTGTAAAATTGATTAAAAACAAAATAAATAACATATATTAGTTTCTATTTATATTATGTGGTTGTTCTTAGTTTGTATTAGAAAACCGAAACTTCGTGATACATAAAACGGTTAAGAATGGCGACAATAGAAGCATCTGAAAAATAAATTCAGAAACAAATACGAGTGCCGCCTTTTAATTTGACATTTATTTGTTAAAGTTAAAACATTCGATAACTCAGAAATTGGTCGAGTTCTTGTTTAACAGTCAGCGTTTAGAAATAGAAATTATCTGACGAAATGGAAATTTTTATTTGGTGATTTTTTTATCATTTTAATAAACGCCTAGCCTCGAATCGCCTTTTAGAAATAAATCCAATGAATCTATGAGAAAACACCACTTACAACTAGTTTGCAGAATTTTCTCGTAGTCGTACTTTCATTAGTGATTAATTTTGTGCAGGTTAACCAAAATGGGTTGTTACCCCGTGAGATAGAAGCATCTCTGGGCATATTAAAAACTCCATTCATTTGATTTTGCATGAAAATTTAGGTATGAAAAAGATTTGTTCCCGATGGAGCTCACATAATTGGACTTCAGCTCACAAGAAGGCTCGTGTAGTTAAATGCTTAATAACAAGTAAAAAGAAGGCCGTGACAACATAGTATAAAAAAACTGAACGATAAAGGAATAATAAACTTTGTTTAAATACCGTGAAGAGGTTAACAAAAATATATCTTGAATATTTTTAGCGTCATGGTATACAACGGTTAATTAAACCCTAAAATGCTGTTTATTGGTTATTCTAAGTATGAGAAAGTCTCATTATCTAAGAAATGAGTGTATCTGGAGTTTTCGTATGCGATAGCATTTCTAGATTCATATTTTTTGACGTATTACAGGCGATAAATATCTTAAAATGTAAAGAGTCCCTGTTTTAACTTAAAAACAAGTTGGTTCGCCATAGACATGCTAAAGTACGCCTCTGCTGTAATGAGAATGGTTCACATACGACTGTTTACTCTAGAGCCTTTTTCAATACAAATTGACTATGAAAAGACCTTAATCCAACGCATTTGTAGCAATATTGTTAATTTGGGAAACGCTGTAATGTAATTTTTTATCTTATAATAAACTGTTCTTTACGTTGTTTGATCAATTTGTTAATACTGCAAATCGGTAACCTAACATATAGAGCACTTGTCTAAAATCGCTTCCTACCTTTAATTTTGGAACCAAAGTATATAAAAAATTAAAGTTAGCATACATAAATTAAAGCTTCATCAATGTGCATGTAATACTGCTTTTTAAAGCTGCTTAAAATATATATTCAAACGTTGATTTTATTTAAACTTATCTCATACATTTCCAAACCACCCTGGACGTTACTTTTTAAATCGACGTAGCCTGCTAGTTCCCGGTAGCTCTCTATTGTTTGTTCTTGTACATTGCAAGATTGCATAAACCTCAGTCTAAAATACAGAGTTGTTTTCCTATTGCATAGCCAAAATTGGTTTTTAGAATATACTACCGCACCAATCACATCCTTAGTCTTGTTCGTATACCAGGTTTGTTTTGTCGTTGAGAGGTTTCCCTTAGGATATTCCTTATTTTATTCGGTTTTAGAACCTGAAATAGAGTGTTGAAAGAGCAACGCTTGGTTGGTTATGTGATCTGGTTCTCACATCTAGCATGTGTGACTTGGTACAATGTTAAGATTTTTCAGAGTATTCTTTAATTTGTAAGGACATAATCATGTCTTCTCCTGTATCATAAGTGAAGCTGTGCCAAGTCTATTGTTGTGAGGAGATAGGCAAGAATTTATATCTTACTTTTTCTAAATATTGCCGCTCTTTGCTGTGTTTTTGGCCACCAGACCAATATCATAACCATGGTTTCAATCAACCTTTTTTTTTAAATGCCAAGTCCGTAAGTTTCGAGTCAATTGTAACTCTGACATACTTTACTTCCTCTTTGGTTGGATGTTTTTAACTCGTGGGTCTATAGGTCCTAGTTCCTCTAATTTTCTCCTGCGCGTCAAGACAATTATGTCAGATTTATTGGGACTCATTTTTAGTCCTTAATTTTCTCCCTCTTAGCAAATAGTCAATCCAGGTTACAAATTTGTTCTGAATTCCTCTATGTTTTAGAGTTTAACTATTAAATTTAGTCATATGTTGCAATAAAAAAAAAACATTGGAATAGATATTTGAGTTTCTTTCAAATGAGATATTACTCGCACACTGTTGCTATTTAAAAATACTGTTCAAAATAGCGATACAATACCAGCCTATTATATTACGTACTACTTATTAAATAAAATTTTGTTTTTGCTGTTTCATTTATGTTACATCTCTTAAGATCGTTTGGTTCAAAAGTTAAAGAGGTGCAGAGTCTTTAGACGAGCACTGTCTAATATATAACTTTTTAATTTACCTTAAAATGCCTTTACCCATATAAGCTCTATTAAATGTTTCTGAATACAGCCGAAATGAAGTAGTTGCTGATTGAGTTATCCAATAAAACATAATATTATCGAGTAAATCATCGTATGTGAAATATTCTAGCAATCCTCCATCTTCTCTAAGTTGCCACGTTTTATTTGTTCCTGTTGTAAATTTTTCCAAAATATACGCTGCTAGCCCAACCGGAGAGTCGTTGATTCCCACACCTGAAACATTTTAGTTATGTTTTATATTACACGAGTACCTACCAGAGTTGGGTAGTATCCGGATACTTCTCGTATCCAAATACTTTATGTGTATCTGAAAGCTGTATCCGGATACTTTTCAAATTTTGTATCCGGTATCAGTATACATGACCAAATTCGTAAGTATCCGGATACCGGATACTTTTTTCGGCATTCGGATACTTTTAAATTATTTACCACAATCGTAACTAATCCAATCCATATTATCTCTATTAAAATATATAATCGAAATACTTTGAGCTACCCTGTATAATTAGAAATAAAATAGGTATTTTTCAATATTACAATATTTAAGATACAATTGCAATAGGTACCTAGTTACATAAAAAATAGTAAAATAATTATTTTATTATGAGTTGTAGTTTTGTTTGATGCAATCTGTAAAATTAAAAATAACGCAAAAACAATTCTCATCGCCAAGGATGAATTCGACGATTCACCCAGTAACAGACGGTCAGGATTCAGCATCTTGCGGCATGTTTTTACAGCGTCACGAACTTGTGGAGGTTCCATTAGCCCAGTTATGTTTCAGTTGGCAAAGACAAGAGACGGTTGTTCCTATGTTTTTATATAGTGCAATATAACTAAACTTTCTGTAGGTGTAGGTACCTCGAATTTTTTGTTTTGTAAAATGTCTAATTACATCATTAGTTCTTAAAATGTAGTCGAGAAAATACATGTATGACGTTGTTGCTCATCATGTTACTGATCTTGTGTTATTTATATCGTCATCAACATCAGTAAAGTATACAGATCTGACAAGATCATATATACGAGCCTGCTTTGCCTATGCCAGAACGAAACATTCAGCAATCTCTCACTTCTCCTCCTTTCAACGCTCTCGACTTTACCAAGTACCGCTCGTCGGAGGATCCACAAAAAATGGATTATCGAATACATCTAACACTCACGAGAATATCGAAAGGTATAAACATGGCAAGTCGCGCAAACAACGAGCTTATTTCGTTAGATTTATATGAACACGACACTGGCTGGTTTTTGGCGCGGTTAAGGCGTGACTCGTTTTAATTACACGCACCCTTATGTTTTATTGTTCATTTATGACTTCCCCACAAAATTACCGTTTCAATGATGTGCCACACATGGTACATTATCCATTTACAATTAAGGTGCTGGTGAAGTCCAAGGAAGGGGGTTGACACATGAGAGATGTCTGTATTGTAAAAATGTTTTTAATTTGGAATAAAAATCGACCTGTTTTACCATTTTTTTTAAATTCAATGATTAATGCTGAAAAACAGGATGAAAGGGTTTTGAGTGGCCCACTCTGTATATCAAAAATGGCTAGATTTATCGAATTAGTTCATAGAACAAAATCTGCTTAAAAATGCATTTTTTATAAGATGCGCTACATAAGAGAAGATCCTCCCATCGAAAAAAAATATTGAGCGCAGCGCCATCTATATATTAACCCATTTAAAATTAATTTATATCTAAAATTAAAGCTCTCTTAGTGCTCTGTGAACTGGCTTTTGCAGAATTAAAATATCTCTATTACTTACCAAAATATCCGGCCTGGGAGTTTTTATTGGTACACCCTGTATACAGGGTGTTCCGAAATTAGACGGTCATATTTTAACAGCATAATCTACATCCTAAAATGGGAGTAAAAGTTTATATAAACATAGGTCCGAAAACGTTTCTTTTCCGGGATACAGGGTGTTAAAAGTGAAGTCCTGATGACACTCTTTTGTAAATATTTTCTAAACGTTTAAACATAACCAAGTGAAATTTGGTACAAATGCTTACCTTTTCACGATCTATTTAATGGACTAAACCCTGGTTTTTGATCATCTTCATAGGTGGGTAAATTAAGGGGGGGGGGGGGGGCTTAGGGTAAAATTGCCCTAAGTTTTTTTTGTTGAAAGTTTTTAACATTTTTGACTATAAAATTTGGAAAACCAATGTTTTCTTTATAATAAAGCTACTTCTGTTGAATCTCGCTAGGACGCACCATTTTTAAGAAAAAAGCATTTGAAAATTTCATGATAAGTTATTCGAAAGTGCAAACAATAATTAGTAGGCCTGTGAAATCAGAAATTTTATTTTTTTTTACTTTGGAAAACCGGCGACTAAAGAAATTTTAGAAAATATTTACAAAAATGTGCCATCAGGACTTCACTTGTAACACCCTGTATCTCGAAAACGAAACGTTTTCGGACCTATGTTTATATGAACTTTTATTCATATTTTAGGATTTAGATTACGCTGTTAAAATATGGCCGTCTAATTTCGGGACACCCTGTATACATTTTTTACCAATATTTTGTGTCTAAATTATTAGGAGATAACAAGATTATTAATGTACTTACCCAAAGTATCAGGCTTGGTAGCTTGTTCATGGAGATATCCATTTTCTTTTAGTCTTGCCATAAAATATTCCGATACGGGAAATAATCTATCATAATGCTCAGGCCGAACATACCAAGAAGGAAAAGAAGGTAAAAAACTGGCCAATACTTGTTTGAAAAATGATAAAGGCGAACTGACCAAACACATATTGGAATGATATCCTAGTATAACTTCGGGATATAAGATAGCCATGTTTTGAAGGATAATTGCTCCGAAATCTCCTCCTTGAGTGTAAAACTTTTTGAATCCTAAATGGTTCATCATGTTCTTTAAAACGAGTGCAATATGGTCAGGGCTTAATCCTGGTCGCACAGCCGGTTTTGAAAAGCCATAACCTTAAAAATGTAAGATATTTTATACCATTTTTTTTCAATTTATTCGTACATCAAAAAGCATAAAAAATCTTTTAGTATACATATACGTTATACATATAGATATAAACGTCATTAGAATTCCAATTTTATTTTGGAGCAAGTCCAAGATAAAGTGGGAAATATGTTTTACCGAAATCTCGAAAACCTACATGACCATTTTGAGTTTATATACGCAGGTGTAGTAAGTGTGACTTAAATCACCAAAAAAATCACTTCACATGCACATATAAATTCAGAACGATTATGTACCGCTGTTGGAACAAACCTATCTATTGCGACTTAAAATACATTTCAATTATCTGGTTGTCAATTTCCTGGAAAACAGTCAAAAGATAAACGATCGAAGCTCTGCAACCCATTGAAAATAACTGATAGATTAAAAGGCGTATTTGTAAACCGAGAGTTGACTTCAATTGAGTCGTTCTTGAACGAAAATCGAAGTTCGGTTATATCGCGTGAATTTAGAGATGGGTAGTAACAAATCGGTAAATGTACTTAACAGTTACAGATTTGTTAATGTCCATCTCTAAATTGCACTGCAACGCTGGAACCACCTGGAACGTTATGACCGAACTTCAATTTTCGTTTGAAGACGACTCCGCCAAGTCCGACTCAACTGAGATTAGTTGGTAAATACACGGGCCTAAGATTAGCATTGTTCGTATAATAATACCCTTTAATGAACCGTTTTAGTTAATAAAATTGATTAGTCATTTAATCTTAGTGTGCTTACTCTTTGCTTACTCGACAGTTTGGTAACTAGACCTGTGCCTAACACCTCTAATTCTTTTTTGTTTCTTTTCCTACATTCGAACACTATTTATTATTCACAAACCTGGAATATGAGGTGCTATAATTTCAAACACAAAATCTTGTCCAACCTGAGGTGTTGTTAATATGGGTATTATTTCATAAAATTCTCTAACAGATCCAGGCCATCCGTGTAATATTAAAAGTGGAAGTATTTTAACGCCTTCGGCAACCTTCGGCTTAACGTGAATATAATGAATGTCCAATCCTTGTATATTTACTGTAAATTGAGGAAATTTATTTAAAAATGTTTCTCGACTCCTCCAATTATACTTTGTTCTCCAATAATCAACGACTTCTTTTAGAAGTTTAGTATTCATTCCATATTGTTGTTGAACACCTTCAAGTGGAGGAGTAAATGGACGATGATGCTCTAGCCGCCATCTTAGATCATCAAGAACCTTAAAAAAAGAAAAATTGAACCTGTTTTATCCGAAGAATTACTAGTGAATAAAATAGAAAGATAATTAGTAGTTTATGCAGCAACCGTGAACATGATGGTTATATTGCACGAAAACTGTTTGAGCATGACCATTGGCGGTGGAAAAACTTTTCTTCTGAGGGGGCTTTAGACTTGCTAAAATGGAGTGTATTTAAAATCCAATGCGCTGATTGGGTCTACCTTAGTACCATGTGGGAGCACGATACACCCACCTAAATATTGGATGTTGCGCATCGTGAGCGATCCTTATTTCGACGTGCTTCAAATCAAAATCACTCTATCACTCTATGAGTGGCGTCATGCGCGTGGCAGACGAAAACTGAACACGGGAGTATCCGGCCCTGATGTTAAGTTTGACATACAAAAAATCTACCCGAGTTATACCTAATATTTTTTCTACTACCCACCAACGAAAATTTACAAAATTATAAAAATATATTTAGAGGTTATTAAAATAAAATAACTATTTTATAGGCAACTGACGTAAAAATGTTAAATTATAAATATTACTTATAATCAAATAAACAAAACAAAAAAATAAGATCCATTCAGGATTTGAACCCCGGTCCTTGGAATGGGAGCACTTAACTCAAGCTGTTGCGCTAGCCACTTTTACATTTTATACGGTTTAAAATTTATAAAAAAATTGAAAGTATGTCATTAAATTCAACTAAAGACATATATTTAGTATCCATTCTACCTAGTAAGAACACTATTTAAAATCCACTAATCACAGTTTATATGTGGTTACGCATTAGGTTACTATTACTTTTTTTTAATTTTAAATAAATTACAATTCTGTCAAATTAATTCTCAGTATATTTTTTAATTATTTAAATTAAATATTATTCTTGTAAAAAATCGATTAATAATTACAAGGTACTCCACCATATTTAAAAAAAAATTGATAAATTTTAATAAAACTATATTAAATCAATTTTAGAACTAAAAAGTTAAGTGTCTCGATAAAGCTGGAAGTAGCGTATTGAGTTGTCTTGCGAAAGATCTGGGTTCAAATCTAGGATTGAAGACTAATTAAGTAAAAAAAAAATATGTATATTCTATAAATTTGTAAAAGTCATAAATTATTTTTAAATTAGTTATTATAGAATAATTTGAAAAAGTTAGTTATTATAACAAAAATTAATTTTTAAAATTTGTAGATTTTCGTTAGTGGGTCGTAGAAAAAATATACTGTGCAACTCGAGTAGATTGTCTATATTGCACTTAAATGATTGAGCAATCCGCTTATGGCGTCGTGCTCATACTTCGTCTTCGTGCGGTATGGCCATCATATCTACTTTTGTGTCACAATAGTAGTTTGTGCAGCAAGAGTGGATATGGACAATTCACTCAAGTTGTACAGTATATTATTTCTACGACCCACTTACGAAAACCTCCAATATTAAAAATTATTTTAGGTTATTAAGGTAAAATAACTAATTTAAAAATAATTTATAACGTTTGCTAATTTATAAAATAAACTAGAAAAAAAAAGAAAAGAGGTTTAATTTAATATGTCCCCATCCGAGATTTGAAACCGGGCCTTCCGCTTTGACTTCATATAGTTTTATTTAAATTAATAAATTATTTATAATTATAGATGAAATAAAAATAGAAATGCTATTATTTATCGATTCTACACAAGAATAACTAATTTTAATGTATATTTAATCTCAATAATTAAAAAATATACTGACAATTAGTTTGACAGAATTGTCATTTATATAAAATTTTAAAAATAATAGCGGTCAATTGACTAAAATATGAACTGTGATTGGTGTATTTCATTTTTTGCAGTGTTCTCACTACCTAGAATGGATATGAAATATATTCGTTCAGCTGAACGCAATAGCATACTTTTTCTTTTTTTAGTCTCTGCGTAAATAAGCTAATATCCATTTGGGTAGAGAAAAACTATTATTATAGGTATGCGTGTTTTTTAGTTAAAAACTTTCATTTTTTTAAATTAGGTCATAAATAAGATTTTCCATTTAGACCGTATTTACACAGTATTGGAGTAGCATCATAAAAGTGACTTTTTCTATAGCTACATGCATATTGTCTATTCTATACTCAGGAATATGTAGACGATATCAGTATACTTAACGGATATACTGTATTCACTCCGTGCATGACAGCAGCTCCAACATATTATGCATGAATTAATTAAAGGGCGATATTTGCGTATATTGACAATATAATTTTTAATGGAGTTTGTAATTAAAAAATATATTTTTAAGTTTTACTAAAAGTAGGTATAATCAATTTATAAAACAAGTGAAAATATTCATTTATTTTTATTATTATAATTATTATTTTTTTTAATTTGGTGTCATCGGCATCAACTACTAAGGTTATTAGCCTCGTGTTCTGTGTAGGTTTTGTTACTGTTTCCCAGCGCCACTTTAGTAACAGCACTGTTAATTAGAACCCAACAGTGAATGGTCGAGTGGGGAATCTTACCAAGACATCAGAATTAATTTTAAATAATTAAATTAAATAAAAAAATCCCTGCCAACGGTTGAATTCGAACCTGGGACCTTTGGATCCGCAGGCAGAGATTCTACCACTGAGCCACCAACCCCCTATTATTATTACATATTTTTATTACTTAAGCTAAAAAAACTCAGTGAAAAATTGGATAAGCGTGATTAAGTGATGTCAAAATAAAAAATGTGTCTCTGAACTGGACATGAATTTATAAGATTTTTTGATAAAATGTTTATATTCTATTGTGTGAGCAAGATATCATTAATTTAAGTTGTAAAACTCTGGAAAAATATTATTGTAATGAGTGGTACAAAGCAATATGCTTAAGATTTTCTGCTAGTACAAAAGTGCACAGTAAGGTACGGTAAAAAAACCATCGACAGTCTGGTATCAGATCATGCGGAGCTCTAAGGCTGACATAAATGTGGTGCGTAAGGAAAAACCTGATGATAAACCCTGACAAGGCACAACTCATAACCTTTACTCAGAAAACATGGTTGAAGTTCTTTGAAACTCCGACCCTGTTTGGAGGGAGGCTAGAAAGTAAAATATCTGGGTCTTATCCTAAATAGCAAACTTACTTGGAACCAACATTTTTGTTTAACCTTTTAGGCATCCATCTGCTCCCCCTAAGGATTTCGGCAGACTCCACCCAATCAGGCTTAGGTCCAGCCAATTGCTCCCCTCATTCAGTCTGCTTTCCCTCTTCTTGGAGTTCGCATGGAGGCACAGAGATGCAGGTGGCATATTGTGCTACCATTTGCATGCCCTACTCCTTTCTATTCATAATACATTCATTAATTATCATTCATTCCACGTCGTTGATTGTTAACCGTCAGAGATCACCCATCAAAAAAATTACCGGAGATATCACTACTTTGACTGCCGTGATACCGTGAATAAACAACAGTCTTGTGGCTAGCCTCTCCGGAGGGAATCAACAAAAAATGTAAAAGGTATCTCATTGTTGTGAAAACATGGGGATTTAAACCGAAAATGGTCCACTGGCTTTATTCGGCAAGACACATGATAACTTGAAGCGGTTGTTTGGTGGCCAAAAGTAAATCAGAAAACAACCCTCAATACTATCTCAAGAGTACAGAGGCTAGCATACCTTTGTATTACAGGAGAACTGAGAAGTACACCGACAGCCTTTATGGAAATCATTCAAAATCTCCCACCCCTTGACCTAGTCATAAAGGGGGAGGCCAGACTAAGTGCATATATCTCCAACAACTAGAAGCCACTGGACATATATTATAAAACATACCAGAAAACACATTAGGTAAATCATTCTATATTAAACATGGAATCAGAGCATATCACAGCCCTCCTAACCTTAAACACACTCTTCCAGATCAACTGCAAACTGGAACAAGGTAATATCTTGTATAGTATGCGGATGGATCTAAAACTAATAAGAATCCAGGCACTGTCTACATGGAGTTAAACCGACATCATCGATTCATTGGGAAAACATACCACTGTAGTTTAGGCTGAATTGTGTGTACGAGAGAATATAAGAAGGAAGTATAAAAACAAATAACAAACCATCTTAATTCTCTCAAATACCCAAGGTCTTTGGTTTAAACAGAATCAAGTTTTAAGTCAATGCTTGTTTGTAACTGCCTTGACATACTAAAGGATCTGGCAATCCACAAAAAGGTAAAACTAGCGTGGGCACTAGGCCCAAAGGTATCCAAGGCTGATGAACTCACCAAAGAGGGATCAGAATACCATTCACAGGATCTGAACCTGTATTTGGGATAAGCAAAACCTCTATAGGCAGTGACCAGGTGGATAACCACAAATACCGAATTCACTGGCACAGATAAGAGAGGGCACAGAATCAGTAAGCTAATGCTAAAGGGGCCAAACCTACGCATGGCTACTGAGGTACTACAGCTCGCAAGGCCTCATATACCCACATTTGTTTGATTACTAATGGGACATTGCTTACTAAAACACTTTCATGTAATGGAATTGCACACTGATCCCACTACGTGTAGACTCTGCATGAAAGAGGAAGACACCTCATACCATGTTATCTTCGAATACGCAGCTCTTGCTAGGGAGCCTTAATCTTTTCGGCATAGAAACAGGAAGAACGCTCCAGGAAAACTTGGTAGGGAACTTAGTAAAACTAACCAAATACACAGGACTATTCCAAAAATAGTAAGGTATGACAGTTGAATCCCATGCCATGCCCAAAGAAAAATATAAACTGAGCATGGCAGTACTTACTGTTCCCTTCTTACTGCATCCTATATACTGCATCTATCCATTTATTTCTTTGATTTAATTTTAATTTTGCTACTAGAAATTTATAAAATTAACACTGGTTTTGCTACTATATTTACAATTTACAACACAGTAACTCCGGTGGCTCGTTTTATCAGATAAACTTTACACGTGGGTTTGATGCGTCAAAATTACAAAATATCGTCCTAAAGTACTTGACTTATCTGTAGCTTACGCTAATATTGCTTTTACTTCCCCTACCATGATTTAAATATTTAATCGATAAAATTTTTGAATGGCTCGTGTTATTGCCTTTGATTAAAAGTTTTTAATTTTTTTGTCGGCATTGCTAAATCTATTAAAAAACAATTGATTATCTTATTGACTATGAAAATAAGAACAAGAAATATTATCTGGTATTACCAACTGTTATTTTAGATGGATGCTGTGCTGCCAAATTAAGGAACATATTATTTTTTAAATAATTTGAGGGCATTTCTAAAAAATTTGAATAGCTTGTGCCACATCGTTTCAAATGTAATTTAGAGGAGAATACCAAATATGTAAAAATATACGGTAACTTGACAATTTGAATTTTTTTTCAATAGAATTATTCCACTAAAAAGTGTTTTAAGAATGTAAGTAACAGTAACCATATAACTTTTAGTTTAAACCTTCCCCATTTAACCGACCTTCTGTTCTTGTATTAACCGAAATATCAACATAGAGATTCTAATTTCGGACACATTGTAAAAGGGTGCTGCAAATTATTATACTTATTACGAATTGTCTTAACTTTTTAACCCTTTAACGCGCAAAACTATTTTTTTGCCAGGTTTTCGAAAAATAACGATATGTGTGGGTTATATAAGTAAAACTAAGCATATTACTGTGTCTTAAAACAATTACAAGTTTGAACTTTGAGTTGTAGAAGGTGGTCAATTTTTCGACCAGCGTACGTTCAGGATGGCACACTTTGGGCTCGAATCGTACTCAAAATATCGACTAGTTCAGTTTTTCAAAAAAAAAAAAAAAAAAATAATGATGAATATAAACATTTATTTTTAAAATAAAAAAACAGTAAATCAATACTTCAATACACAACCAAATAAACAAATAATAACTAACTGTATGCGTACAGAGGCAGATATTCGACCACTTGTTAGGGACGAAGCTGGGACGTGCACTAAATAGCGCGCCAAATTTTATTACGGGTTGATATTTCGCCTAAAAACGTTACCGGTAAGTGTCTAGCAGAGATCTGGTCTAAATTCAGCCTGCTCGCTAAAACGTACAAGCAGAAAAATTAAGTGGTTTAAATACCAACCACTGCCCGCTAAAGGGTTAATAAAAAGAACATCTCTTTCAATCGTATTTTATTTAATTATTGTCTTCTGCAAATTATTTTTTTTTTGTTAAAAGCACTCCTCTTGTGGTGGCATTTTTATATCTTTAATGTAATTAATAAGTTTTTAAAAATGCTATACACCAAAATGGAAAAAAATGTTTATTACAATGTGATTATTGAGTTTTGCAGGTAGGTAAAAAAAGTAATGACTAAAAGCACTTACCGAATCTGGAACACTAATGGTAAATGGTTTCACTACACTCTTAATTGATCCTGGTTTTCCGGGACCCCACCAAATTTCATCTAATTTTGGTGGTAGTGGAGAAGTGCTAAATAACGAAGTCTTTATTTTATAACCAAAATATGCTGAAAATAACACAAGTAATATGAATAATTTCCCCATTTTTCTTATTTTTATTCAACACGTTTAAAGCCAATAGTCATATTATCATCACATACGAGTAAGTACCAAACCACTCCATTTATTCGTTCAAGGTTCTCAAATTAATGATAATTTGCACACAGGTTGGTATTTACCCACGAAACCGTTGTCTACAGTAACTGAAATTGTTATTAAAAATTAATATATAGATACGCCACAATGTTATTATTTTATTAAATTTATAAAACAGCAGATAATTTGGATAGAAACCCCCCAACTAAGTAATGTTTTTTTTTTTTTAATTTTAAGCTATCTAATCAAAGTGTTGTACTGAAATGAATATACAAAAATACAACAATATAGGTATAATGCAAATTATATCCTGAATTATAATTATTATTTAAGAAAAAAGAATTATTTATGTTAAAGACAAAATTTATTTTCTTATTTTCTCATGATTTAAAATCATTATTCAACGCAAAGAAATATTTAATTATTTTGGTAAATATTCATAAAAAATATTGTTTAATAAGCAAAGAATGGTATTCATTTCCTACGAATACGATATGAGTAGTAAATATGCATTCATATTTTAGATATTTATTTAATGTTGGACATAAAATACACATGACTTTATTAAAATAATTGAGTAATGACTACTTTGTGTTATCAGATAAGTATATGATATGGAAATGATTTCTTTGCGTTATTAGATTGATCAAATATAAACATTTCTTAATCAATACCTAATTGTAGTATAATGTTGTGTATTATATTATTAATAATTAGATACAGAACAACTGAATATTTCCCGATTAAAAATAAGGCGATTATACAAAACATGCTTAAATAAAATTACTCGTTTCCAAAATACGGGGTGTTAAGGTTGAACATAAAAAAATTATTAACAGCTAAATTTTTTTTATTTGTCAGTATAATTTTAGTAAATTCGGTAAACATTTTTGTTATCATAAGATGCACCTAGTATTCATAAAAATCAGTTAAATAAATTAAAAATACAGTGTGTCTCATTAAGAATGGGAGCCAGAACAACTGAAGATTATCTGATTAAAAATCAATAAAGTTGAAAATTCCAAAATTATTAATGGCTATAATTTTTTCATTTCCCAGTATAATTTTACTAAATTCGTCAAACTTTTTTGGTGTTATAAGATCCATCAGCAATTAAATTATTTCAATAAACTTTATTTAAAAGATATCAAAAAATTCAAAAGTATAGTCTAAATAATTTTTGGACAGTGACGTATAATTTAGAAGGGATAAGGTGGAACTTATCCATGTCGTGCCCTTCTGGTAAAGTTTATTGAACTGATTTTTTTGATAAGTGTATCTTATTTCACCAAAAACGTTTTCTTGATTTAATTTTATAAAAAAAATCCAAAATTACAAAATAAATTTAAATGAAGAAAATCCACATTTGAGTGTGAATATCTTGAAAATCAATCACTTTATGAGTTCCCAACAGGAGTACATGTTTTATTTAAAAAACATAAAAAAATGTAAAGGTATAGTCGAAATAAGTTTTTGGACAGTGGCGTAAAATTTAGAGTATATAAAGATTTTAGTTATCCATGCTATACGCCATTGGCAAAGTGTATTTAACTGTTTGTTTTGCTGAAAAATATATACAATATTTAGTAAAATTATACTGGGAAATAAAAAATATTGGCATTAATAATTTCAACTTTAACACACTGTATATTTTCGAAAACCAGTAATATTTTAAATCGTCTTATTTTTAATCAGAGAATCTTTAGTTGTTCTGTGTCCCATTCTTAATGCGATACCCTGTAAATAGCCGTAGGAAAATGTATTTTTTTTCTCTTTATTGAATATTTCCTGTTGTCTCTTTCAAACATTCTTAGTGATTTATTCAGATTAAAGGTCGAAAGCTTTAGTTCTTTACTCCTATAAGAAAATCAGACACTATTAAAGGTCAAAAGAAATCAATATTTGAAGTGCATAAGATACAATTTTATTAAAAAATAATATTGGTAGTAAAGATCATAGACCGATATTTAAACAAATTTTATATCTATACTCAAACAAATAATTATTGAGAGTGAACCGTGTTGTCATATCTCAATTTTACCTTACTAGTTTTTAGCAGAATCAAAATAGAGTAAGTAGTAGAGTTGTAAGTTGTGGCAAATTATAGATAATATACAATCATAGTACTAATAAAAGATATTAATTATAACAAAAATCAGTAATGAGTAATACTTATACATTTCTTGATCATTTAAAATTAATTATTTTATGGATTGTTCAGTATTTGTTACAACTAATGGCATCGGTGTACGGAGCGATATTTGTATCTTTGTCTGTTACGCGTAAAATCCATCTCGTCGATGACGTTCTCAGTAGTGTATTTCTAACCACGAGCGTAACATCGGGTTTTGAATTATACGGTGTGAATTGTAAGTTTTACAGTTAAGTTAGTAAGTAATCGACGTGTTGTAAGAACAATTGGTGAAAATATTAGTGCTAATAAGTGTTTAAACATTAAATAATAATATTTCTACACCGTTCTAAAACTATGCAAAAAATGGAAGACATTGAAGGGCCTTCAACGTCGAAAAAGGTAAAACGGTCGAAGTCTCGGTCGCTAAGTGAAAAACAAATTGTACTTCGAGTATTTCACTGTCTTGAAAGAGATTATCAGCGACCAAAAGATAACTTAGTGCATATGTGCTGTAATTCTACGGATGTACCTCCGAATAACTAACCGGGCGTTCCAACATCATTAACTTCCACACAATTACAAAAGATAAATTAGTTGATATGTGCTCTGATTATACGGGTGTACCAAAATCATCAGTTTACAAAATACTAAGAGAAAACAAAATTCATGGGGAAGTACAAACGCCAAAAACTAGTAGCGGAAGAAAAAAATCACAGTTGATGAAGAAGCCAAAAACAGTATACGCACAACTATTCACAGTTTCTTTTTCAGAAATGAGCTGCCCACTTTGCAAAAAGTTCTGGAGGCAGTTAGCGATCATGAATTGGTCCCACAAATGAGTAAAGAAAATTTGAGGAAAATTTTACACGAAATGAAATTTACGTACGGAAAAGTCGACAGGAAAAGCATTCTCATTGAACGTCAGGAAATAATAGTATGGAGAAGAATTTGTGAAATAAAGTTAAATTCATTATTAAAATAGTAAAATTGATAATATTGTTTCTGTCACCAAACCAACCCCTGATTAGGTATCTTTCTTATTTTTAATTTGAAATATATATTGTGATTTTTATTAATATTCTTAATTTATTTGGTTCCTACTATAATTACCACAATTATTACTCCGTTTTCATAAAGCCCCACTAATGACTACAACGATTAGGTAAATTACGATATTGCAAAGTTTTCATGAAATAAATAAAAGAAATTGTATGAATATTTTAAATAATTGTACCCTCTCAAAAATAATAAGCACGCCTCCGATTTGGTCGTATTTCTACCTGCTTTCACTCTCAATCATTATTTGTTTGAGTTTTAGAGAGTATATTTTCACATTGTATCTATTACGTGGGTAATTTTTGGTTATTAATAGTAGTTTGTGCAACAAGAGTGGATATGTACAATCCACTCGAGTTATACAAAAATTTAAAAAATTATTTTAGGTCATTGAGACAAAATAACAAATTTTAAAATAATTTATGACTTTTGCTAATTTATAAAATATAATAAACAGATATAGCTTAATTAGTCTCTAGTCCATATATGAACCGGGGCCTCTCGTGTGGAAGGCAAACGCCGTGTCATCACCTCCACCTCCACATTTAGGAAATATTTTTTGTACATTCATATAGATATTAGCTATTCTACGCACATACTACAAAACAAAAAAGTAAGCCATTGCGTTTAACTGAACGAATATATTTAATATCCATTATATCTAGTAAGAACACTGCAAAACAATGAAATCCACCAATCACAGTTCATATTTTTGTTACCCGGCTACTATTGTGTCAAACTAAATGTTAATATATTTTTTAGTTATTGAGATTAAATATACATTAAAATAAACTACTCTATAGAAAGAAGATGACGTCACCGATCCTTAGGGACGTGACGTAGTTGCGTCAACAAGACAATCCCAACATGAAACATGGTCTTTTGCATGAAAAGTTAATGGTCTGATTAGCTTTGTTTTAAACCTAAGTTTTAAACTCTATTTTTTCGATTGGTTTTCCAGGAAACTTAAAAATAAAATTAACAATCAACCACTCAATTATCGTACATTTCCTCCCTCAAATTTGACAAATAATGATAACATGATCATCAAGGAGCTGTCTGTCTATAAGGGTGTAGTCTGCTGATAGGTTCTCCTCTTTTGGAGGGCAGGCCAGCGGAGTGCACCATTACTTGTTTATAAGTGGAAAACATTGTTGTATTGTTGAGGGGCTACCATCAGTCACAGTACATGGGGCGGCTTCTTTCTGGAGAGAAAACATGTGCTGCATTGTAGCCTGTGCAGACTGTACGAAATGGACAATAAAGTGATGGTTCTCTACATATATATTTTCATTGAAAAAATGATTAAATAAAGTTGTTTTGGAATTGGATTTCATGCGGAAGGCCCAGGTTCAAATCTCGGCTGGGGACTAGTAAAATTCATTTATTATTTTAAAATTAGTTATTTTGTTTTAATAACTAAAAAAAATTTTTATATTTTGTAGATTTTTTAGTGGGTCGTATAAGAACTACTGTATTACTCGAGGCGATTGTCCATATCCACTCTTGTTGCCCTTCTATGCTTCCGTAACATTAGCATATATGTAACTTCCAATTTTTTTTCTAATTTAGATAAAAATGGTAAATTATGTGAGGGGATGGTGTGCAATTATTGACATTATGAAATTATTATTTTTAATTTTAATCTACGAAAATGGGTGGGATGATCTCATCGCCTTCCACTGCGACTCAGATGGATCTACTGTGGCTATTTTAAGCTATTAAATTAAAAATATATAAATTTACTCTGATAAAATAAATATGACAGTATATCAATTTAAAAAATATAATTAATATTTTGCTAAGCCCATCTCTGTCATCTATAATAATTTATAGTTTCTAATACGATTAGATAAATTAAATAAATAAAAGAGATAACATAAATTTAATTGATATATCTACA